AGCTCTTTCATATGTGAACACTTAAAATATTTGTAGGTAGTTATAGCCTAGCACTAATAGAGCACTTTTGAATCTTTTTGCAGTTATTGTCATATTTCTCTGAAGACCTTTTGGCTTAAAGCTTGGGTGCCCAGGTTCTACAGGTAAGGTAATTACAGATTAGACTCTAATTTTTATTACTGTAGAATAACATCTCCATATTGGAACCTTCCTGGTCATTTTCACATTTCACATCTAAGCCTAAAAACCTATAAGCCATACATTTTCTGGACCCAGCTGCATGATCTTACATTTATTACTATTAAAATTCATTCAGTCAGCTCATTAATTCTGCCCGAAAAAATCTATTAGATCCTTATTTCATTATTCAATTAATTTGTTATTCTTCTCTGTTTTGTATCAAATTTGTTAAATGTGGTTTTAATTTTTCCTGAATCACTGACAAAAATGTAGAAATACAGTACTGCAGGTTATTATAGATGAGCATCATATACCCACTTTTTGATTAATGTTTCTCTAACAACACTTGGGCCCTTCAAAAGTTACTAATCCAATTACCTGACCTTGAATTGTCCCCATAAGTCCCCTATCTTGTTTAAAAGAATGTCATGGAAAGTCTTTATCAAATCCCCAGTTCCCTACCTAACTCATTTCCATGCTTTAGCCCTGCAATATTAAAAAATGGAAATGTAGTCTTCTTTGATTTGTTCTTAGAGAATCCATCCTAACTTTTGGCGGTGATACTTGCTTCTTTAAACAGCAGTCTTAAAAACCACTGCAAGCATGGCTGCTTACTGAGCATAATCTATGATGCATACTTAAAATATATTATATCTAAGCCTCAAAGGAATCCTAAATGGTTAGAATCATCACGCCTATCTGACAATGAAAAAAACAAAGGGTCATCAAAGTATTTACATACATTATAGTTTTAAAAAGTCAAGTAATTTGCTTAAAATTTATACAAGATTGCAGCAAATCATTACATCAAACTATAAATTATCAAAATATGATATGTAATGTAAATCTACTAATATGTTCCCTAATAGCTGCAAGAATCCACTACCTTCTTCCCCTTTATGAAAACAAGATGATATTTGTTGACTCCCTTTACTCACTCCCATTGTTCACCAGGAGTATTAAAAACATAATTTTTGAAGTTTCTCAGTAACTAAGATTTGAAACTTGTATGTAAGTATTCTTAATAATCACTGTTTATAAATTTAATTAAAAACACATTGTAAGTTTCATCATGAGGTACAAAAGAGGAGACATAAATATGTACCCATATTTATGAGGTACAAAATCTCTATCTGTCCACTAGCCACCCAACACCTGATTTCCTTCTCCAGAAGCAGTAAATGTTAATAGATTTTTCCTGGTCCTGATATAAAGAGCTACTTACTTCCTTTTGTATAACTACATTGTGGTATTCTGTAAGTGTATTCATGAATTACAATTCTTTTAACTATTGCCTAAATGTCAACTATGCTACAGTGAATAAGGTAGTATATATAGTATTTGGAACCTAGCAAGTATACCTGCAGGAGGACGTACTGGAAATAAAATTCCTTGATTGAGAGCAATGCGTGGCTGGGCATGCCTGTAATCCTAGCACTTTGGTAGGCTGAGGCGGGCAGATCACTTGAGGTCATGAGTTTGAGACTAGACTGGGCAACATGGCAAAACCCCATCTGCCTCAACCTCCCAAGTAGCTGGGATTACAGGTGGGCACCATCACACTTGGCTAATTTTTTGTATTTTACTAGAGACAAAGTTTCCCCATGTTTGCCAGGCTGGTTTTGAACTCCTGGCCTCAGGGGATCCACCCGCCTCAGCCTCCCAAAGTGCTGGGATTACAGGTGTAAGACACCGCTCCTGGCTGAGAATAGGTACAGTTTTATTATGAAGTTAATGTTCATTTATTGGAGAACGGAAAATCAGTCACATGACTGTGACAGATGTTGCAAATATTTTTTCCGAGATTGCATTTGCATTTTTTTTTTGACTCTCCTTATGGTAGTGATGCCATACCAACACTCTTCATTTGTAGGGAGTCAAGTTTAACAATTACTTCTATAACTCCTGAGTTGCAAAGACCTTTTGTAATTCAAGATTATAAAAACATTCTCCTATGGCTTCTAAGGTTTTTAATGGTTTTACATTTAAATCTCTGACCTATATGAAATTTATCTTTTTTGGAAGTATGACGTATGGATCTCAATTTTCTTTTTCTCCTAGCTGGCTAATTTAGTGGCCTGTCACAATTCACTGTCCTTATTTAGAAATGCACTTTCTTAATTTTTCCATATAAGCCACAGACCTTATTTGTCTGATTTTTAAAAAAAAGTCTTGTTGGTGTTCTATTTGGATTGAATTAAATTGATGGTACATCTAGAATTCTACTTTTAAAAATGTCATTTAACAACATTACAATCCTAAGCAGGGAGATTTTTCCCTTTGCTTATTGATATTACATCTTAAAAAAAAACAGATAAATAACTTTAGCTATTTTAAGCATTTTGTTAAAGCCTAAGCTTATTTTGAGTTTTACATTCCCAGATATTATTCTCATTCATTCATTCATAAATCTCTGTTTCTGTAACGTCCTTTACAGTCCTGAGCATTAGCTCTATTTGCTGCTCAAGGGTTATTTTTAGCGGTGTCTAGAAACACATTTTTTTCCCTGTCTTGATTTTAAAACTATCATAAATATTTAAGGTTGGCTGAAGATTAGGCTCTGAATAAGCAATGATTTACTATGACTTCAAAGAACTATGAATAAACAAGCTTCCTCTTATCTGGCAGTTTGAAAATGAGGTCTTCCAGTTTATCTAATATTCTAGCGAAAAATTCATTGGAAAGATAAACTTGTGAAGAACAAAATTTAGTTAGTAAAGTTTCACAACAAAACTAAATTGGACAAATTATTCTAGGATAATAGTAATTATCATAGCAAGACACTGTTCTAAGTTTTACAATGTTTATTTACAAACATTAAATAATTGAATCCTCAATGATTTAATAGATACTTTTAGGTATTAGAGTATCCCATGGCCTTTGGATGAATATCAGCCACAAATGTATGGACAAGTAGGATAAGAAGGTTTAGGTGTGAGAGTGTAGGACATTGCAGAGCTTACAATAAATATAAATTAGTCAATTTTATGATCAGACTTACTGTTCCCTCCAACTTTACAAAACCATACAGTATCTAGCAAGTCATAAATATAAGTTCCGATTTACTGGTCAATAGCTTATGTTGTCTTTTAAACCTTACTAGTTTGCCCATATATCTTATTCTAGAGACATCCCTAAAAATATATATATCCCTGAAACTACATAATAAAAACTGACTTCAACACAAAATCAAATCAATCTTTAGGAGACATCACATGGTTCTGCAAGTGGAAAACCATTATTACATGTAACCATTATTACATGTAATAAAATATAAAACATAAAGGCTTTATAGGCACTCCAATAAAAGGAGGTAATTTATATATCATGATCTTTATTTTTTTTAGATATATTAAAAAAAATTTTTTTTGAGACAGAGTCTCACTCTGTCGTCCAGGCTGGAGTGCAGTGGCATGACCTCCTTGGCTAACTGCAATCTCCGCCTCCTGGGTCAAGTGATTCTCGTGCCTCAGCCTCCTGAGTAGCTGGAATCACAGGCATACGCCACCACACACAGCTAATTATTTTATTTTTAGTAGAGACGGGGTTTCACCATATTGTCCAACCTGTTCTCAAACTCCTAGCCTCAAGTTATTCACCTGCCTCAGCCTTCCAAGAGTGCTGGGATTACAGGCACGAGTCACCGTACCTGGACCGATACCATGATGTTTATTATAAGACATACTTCCACATTATAGGGATGACTTCTTCAACATAATGTTCATTAAAATTCCTCCATAGGCCAAGTTTATAAAATTGATGTGAATTCAGAAGTATCACAATTTGAGTCATTCTAAAAGATTTTTACAATAGGTTAATTATATGAAGACTTGCCTCAAATTTTAGTTTTATGTATGGCTTATACCTCATATTAATCTGATCTTCATTTAACAATTAAAAGATCCATTGAACTTAATTTCAAAAGTTATTAGTATGTGAAGGGTATGGAGAAACTTTCTGTACCGTTTTAGCAACTATTCTAAAATTATTTCAAAATGAAAAGTTAAAAAATTAAGGTAGCCATGGTTTTTACTCTCTATATACTCAAACCGTTGAAAATTTAGAATGTTTAATGAGGTAATAATATTTACCATAATGCCCATCAGTTATTTTCCTTTTAACAAAGCTATTAAAAATAAATATTGTTTTCTATTGATAAATTAAAGATAAATCATTCTCTCTGATACCTTCCTTCCAACACACATATTTCAGAACATACAGATTTTGAAAAAAACAAAAAAACAAAAAAACAACTAGGGACTATACAATGGTACAACTGCTTTGGTGTTACCTTTGGCAGGTTTTTAAAAAGTAAAACATTTATCTACCTGATGATTACCAATGCCAAGAGAAATAAAAATACACACTTTCAAAAAATTATATGGCAGCTTTATTCGTGATAGTAACAAACTGGAAACCACCAAAATGACCACTGACAGGTGAATAAAATATATTAATACTCAGCAATAATAAGGAATGAATTATCGATACAACAACAAAGTGGAATGAAGAACCTGGACACAGAGTATTTATAGTCTAAGAGAAGCAAAACTAATCTGTAGTGATAGAAACCAGCAAGCGGTGCCTCTTGAGTAGCAGTGGTTAAGAAGGGCTGAAGGGCAATAAGGAAACTCTCTGGAGTGATTGAACTGTTCTATACCACATTTTCAATATACACAACAGTTGCATGTCATAAATATAAAGCATATAAATTACACCTCAATTGAAATGATTCTCTCCTTAAAATACATTTTCTAAATGAAAACGTAACAGCAACAATAATGGAAGAGTTTTAACATTTCTATTTTCATGATGCTTACCTGTCTAAGAGCTGATCATGTTTTTCTAAAGCATCCTTTTCAGCCATCATTGCTCGTTCCTTTTCAGCCACAGCATTATCCCTTGCTTCTCGGAGATTTCTAAAATTTATAGCATGCATTTCAGTTATTTCAAATGCCTAAGTATCCATCTTTTAAAGTTTCATCAATGTCCTTTCTCAAAGATGGAGTATCTGATAATCTTAAAGGCCCATCTGAGAAGCTGAGGATCCAAAGCGCACATTATATAAACCTACCTGGCTTGGTTCAGCGTCTCTAAGAGCAGGATACACCAGTGTAGGTACAAATACGGTCTATATGTCACGCTACCCTTCTCCGCATGGGTCAAAGGGTAGGCTAACCTGTTTGTATATGCAGTAATTTATGTATTCTTTACCAGAATCCAATGAGATAGGTGTAATTACTCGTATATTATCCACTAGAAAACTGAGATTTTGGGAGCTTAATAAATGTTCCATAAAATATTTTAAGTGAAAGATATTTTGTGGAGACTCAAAGTAAGAGGGCAGTTTGGGATATGGGCAAGAGAATAGTTGAAATGAAGGACCTTGAAGTCTCAGTTATATAGGAAGGAAAGGGAACACAGGTTGACAGACAGGAGAAAGTAGAAGGGACAAAGAACTGGAGGTCCTGATAAGATATGACAAATTAAGTGAAAGTTTAATAATTGCATAAGCAAGATGGGAAGACTAGAGACTGCTGTTGGAAAATGGTGATTTGGAGGTAGAATAGTACTTTCAGTGGCAGAATTTTGGTGGCTAAAAAGGGTGTGAAAATCAGTATGGCTAAATGAAGTAGAGCTGAGATGAAGGTCAATATTCATGTAGGGCTTAAGGAAGTATGAGGCTAGGGTATTGGAAAAGTAATCTACTTAACAGTGCTGAGGACAGTAGAAACTGAAATCAATGGAAAGAATACATTTAGAGTCAGTAAAGGGAGTGTTCAAAAGCTGGAAGATAACAACAATGACTAATTGGGAGATTATACAGCTAGGCATGAGCTTCCAAAGATCAAAATGTTCGCCTTTTAATCAAGATGAAACCTTGAATCAAGAAAAATACCAACATTAAGTTTTTTTCAGATAGTCACTTACTTAATTTTTTTTAATAAATCTCCCTCTCTAGCAGTTACAACATAAAGAATGTAACATAAATAATTTTGCTCATTTAATGCCTGCAAAGCCCTTATGTTTATTTTCTAACTTACTTTACAGCTGAGTAAACTGAAGTTTAGAGAGCTCAAGTTTAGCTAGCCTCAAGTCACACAGTCTAAGAGAGCCATAATTTGAATCCAGTTATTTCTTACCCCAAAGTCAGTGCTTTTTACATCATGCCACGCTATGTCTCATGAAAAACTGGATTGGAAATTATAATTTGTTTTTATTATTCATACAGAATGTGAGTAGGGAGTCATGAAAGCCTATAAAGTTTCAATAGATCTATCTATTGAATATTGGATAGAAATGCCTAGTAGTCATACTTGCTGTACCAGTACTCAATCTAGCCTTTCGCATGATGATGATGTCACAAGATCCTTGGGGTGTCACTTAGCTGGAAACCGTTGTGGCCGGTGGCACCTTTGCCCGAGTTATGCTCAGGCTTACTGGGCTTGTTCCACCTACTCGGCCTCACAGGTTGTACTTGGCTCAAGCTACTGGCCGAGATCCCACACCTGCACAGGGCAAGCCAGATGCAGAGCAGCAAGGGATACGTGACCAAGTGCGGGATTCAACCATTGTGCACAGCCAGGCATGCTGGCTGTAGTGGGAAAGGCAGCTCCAGGGCCAGATCCAGGCTCCCTGTGAGACTGCCACTGGACCGGCATACTGTAAGCAGCTTCCACTGCTGACACCAGGGAATGCAGTGGTGCCCCGAAGCTTAGAGACACCAGGAATTGCAGAGCCCGAGAGAGATGTCACAGCCCTTGTTTGGGCAGCTCCTAGGTCTAGGATCTCTGAAGGGGTGCAGCTCTTCTCTCCTTCCCACTTCTCTCCTTGTCGCAATGTGGTGAGTGAGAGACATGTTTCATCCCTGTTTGTGTTACGGCTCTTTCAGTCCCACCATTCAGTAGGTCCCAAATTCTTGTCCTGTGTCCAGGAAGAATGAGGTACATGGACAACTGGAGAGTAAGGCAAAGAGGTGCTTTATTGAGTGACAGTACAGCTCTCAGGAGATGCAGATTGGTTAGCTCTTATCTGCAGGCAGACGATCCCAATGTCTCCTCAGCTCTTGCCTAAGAGGAGACCCACAGTGGGTAGCTTCTCTAAGCAGGCAGATTGTCCAGATGTCTACTTGAGTGTCTGGGGAGGTGGGGTGGGTTTTGTGGGCTCCAGTGGGGAGAAAGTATAAGCTGATTGGTCCATAGGTGGCCATGGGTGGGTTGGGAGACAAAAGCACCATAAGTTCTCACTCCAGTCTGTGAAACTGGCAGCCCAGCTCCTGTGCTCTAGGCTATCCCTGGCTTCAGGTGGGGCTTCAACAGGGACCTGCCCCTTTCTGCTCAGGAGCCTGTCTGCCTCTGGCGCCATCAACCAGCTATACCCTGGTACCTAGGCTGTTGGTTCTAAAAGGTGCCTGCAGACCTGTACTAAGCTGTCCTCATTCCCCACATTGGCACGTCTCCCTCCCGTGCTTGTCAGTGTGCAAAGTCCAAAAAGGGCTGAGGTGGCAGGGGGCTGTGGTGGCGGCACTGCCCCAAGAGCAGGCACACCAGCAAGTGCCCAGACTTGGCCTCAACTTTACTTGGAAATCAGAGTGTGTGCTGGGAGAGGAAAGAGGTCAGGCAGCAGGAGCAGGTATTTCTCAGCCTGCAGGGGAAAGGGGGCTCTCTGGGCCCACGAGACTGTAGGAATGCCTGGGTCTGCTGCTGTGGCTGGGCTGCTGCAGCTGCACCTGGGAGGGCTCCTGCCCCTCCAACTAGGAAGGGGTCGGGGTTTCTGCCTGTTTCTGGCTCCTGCTGGTTCAGTAGAGCCCTGGTGTCTTTACAGCAGCTGCTCCAGATGGGCCACTGCTGCCATCAATATTAACAACAAATTTAAAACTTGAAACGTGTCAACCTTTTGAGCTTTGTCAGTAAAATAGTTTATAAGCCAGAAATAAAATAGACTTTTTAGAATTGTTGGAGTATAGGTAACTCTTATTGAAAAGAGAATAAACTACTTTTGTGGGTTGTTATCTAAGTGAAAGTGCATTCTGAAGTAGCTATCACAAAATGACATGTTATTTTCTGATGTCATCCTGATTGCAACAACTTTCAAAAATTTTCTATTCTCAAACAAACTGAAACATGAAAAATTAATGTTTTAGACAGCATAAAATTCTCAAACTATATTAAACATTTATATATATATTTTTCTAAATGATCTAAATATTTTAGTCAGCAAATCACCACAAACTGGTTTCAGTTTTCATTTCTCAAATATAGCCTCATTATTCTATATGTTATTTCTGCAGCAGAATTCCAAGTAGATCACATTTACAGTACTAATGAATCATGAATGCTTAATTGGTAGATGGAGAAGCTTCAGTCCCATTTCCTTTCTTGCAACAAGAGACATTAGAAATGAAAACAAGACACAGAGAATAAAATGAAACCTAGAACAAGCTAATATCAGGGCTTGTGAAAGGAGGTATGATTAGAGGGTACTATGCCAAGGCATGTTCATGTATGATTAGAGGATACTATGTTAAGTACTAAAGCATAAACAAAATTCTAGGTCCACAAAGAGAAGGAGTTGATTATTTACTGGAGTTAAGAGAGGTAGGTGAATAAAGTGAAACATTTTTTAAAAGTGACATGTAAGTTGGGCCTTAAAGGACAGATAGGTAAAGCAATTCAGAAAGAGAAAGCTGAAATGAACTGAGGAATGGGCGAGAAGAAGCTAAGGCTTCTCCCAATAGGTCCTCTCATAGGTGTTTGTGGGTAACATTTCTGCAGAAACCCAATCTCCTTATCAAGTACCACACCTTCCAGATGTAGTCCACAACCTGCATACTGTAGCAAAAAGCAGCATAATTCCTTAGAACAAATACATACTTTCTTTATTGTTATCGATTCACATGTTTCATATGAAGTCTGAGAGAAATAAACTGAATGTATTCTTCCACTGACAATAATAGTAAAAGCATACTGTTTACCATGTGCCAGAAGCCATTCTAAGCACTTTACATATCATAACTCATTTAATTGTCACAATAATCCCACAAAGCAGTTTTATCATTACCTCTATTTTACAAATGATAAGGCTAAAACGCAAAGAGGTTAAGTATTAAAGTCATACAGGAAGTATGCTACGGAGCCCAAATGGGCACCCAAACAATTTGGCTCCAGAGTCTGTGCTGTGAATCATACTATGCTGCCTCTTAAAATTTCCTTTGCTTCACAGATGTTTTCTCCTTGAGAAATTCTGATATTTTGAGATTCATATGACCACCTCAAGGCACCAAAAGATGTGAAATCAAAATAGGCCTTGAAAGAATTGTGAATATATTATACATTAGCTTTCATGGCTCACAGTATGTAACATGCTCTTTCAAAAATAAACTTGATAAAATACTAGATGTATTCCTTCCGCAGATAAGACAGTAACTTTCATATAGCTAATAAGTAATCCATTTCTAAACGTTAAATGCATTAGAAGATATAACAGAAATAAAATGACCAAATTACAGGAATTCAAATGTTTTTCAAAAGAGAAACTTGAATTGATAGAAGTTATCTGTAGCATGTACAAGCTAATGAAGCTCAAGTTTTAGTAAGACCAAACTAAGTGTATAAGCAAATGTAATTATAACAAAGAAAGATCAAACAAGTGTTTTAAGATACAAAAATCTGAATATACCATCCTTAAAATACTTTTATAAATTTAATGTTAAATTCCAACACTGTGTTTTTCATGATTCTTTCATGTTGTTTCTCAGCAGACCTATGTATCTTCCATATGCACACAGTTTATGTATATGTCCCATCCACCCTACATTGTGAGTGGAAGACATATTGAGAGGAAAGATTAAAAAAAAAGGAATCTTTGTTTTTTTGGTCTTGCTCTGTCACCCAGGCTGGAGTACAATCTTGGCTCACTG